CCAGTTTGGAAACACTTACTTTTCTGGCTGTGAACAGGCTCTGGAATACCAAATATCCCTTTCCACAGATGAAACTAGAATATTAATGTGTTTACCTTTCATTCTAGGGTTGGTGGATGAAGCCATTGATACTAAATCTCTGTTGGATGCATCAGAAGAGGCTATTAAGAAAGATCTTGATAAATGTAAAGTTGCGATGGCCAATATTCAACCTCAGATGCTGGTAGCTGGTGCCACCAGCATTGCTAGACGAGCAAACCGCATCCTACTGGTAGCAAAACGGGAGGTTGAAAATTCAGAAGACCCTAAATTCCGTGAGGCTGTTAAAGTAGCCTCTGATGAGCTAAGCAAAACTATATCGCCAATGGTAATGGATGCTAAAGCTGTGGCAGGAAATATTTCTGATCCTGGTAAGGATTAAGTCAGCTGATTTCAAATATATTTCTTTTACTGGCTGAAGATGATGTGGAGTAGTGCTTATTTGGTCTTGTACAGCTGTGTATCCCCTTTTAAGCAAATTTTGTGTTCACTAAATCCCAGAATGGTGAAATTCAGGTCACACCACTAACTGCTGAATCCCGCTCTTTTAAAATGCGGTCAAAGACCTTTGGCATATTCAAGGGAAGAGGATTCGGCATTCTAGTTTATTACATGATTTCATGATCTTTCGAAGAACTAGTATTTGTCACTAGTTATCAGTAGTACTACTTTATATAAGAAAATATTATCTAATTTCTTTTATTCTAAAAGTTGTTCTGGGGATACTTTGGCTATTGATAGTGACTATTACTCAGCCCAGGCTTTATTATATATGCATGTTGCATATGACACTAACAGTTCAAACATGTAAATCCACTGTAAACGTTTTGGTAGTTTTTAAACATAATTTTTTACATATATATGTGTACTTGGCACAGTATGTTATAGAAGTAATTTTTTTGGGGTAGTGTTGCAGTTCTAAATATTACAGAATACTGTTAAACTGGTAATGGAATTTTTGTTCAGGTTTGCAGAAGAGTTTCTTGGATTCTGGATACAGAATTCTGGGAGCTGTGGCCAAAGTCAGAGAAGCCTTCCAGCCTCAGGAACCAGATTTTCCCCCTCCTCCTCCTGACCTTGAGCAGCTTCATGTAAGTGCAGCATAGTTTGTAATACAATACACAGTTGTCACCGCCATGTGGATTGCACACTGAAATTACTTGAGTATATTTTGTTCCTTAGAAATAAAATGCATTGTCTAGCCAGCCATGCATACAAGTAGCCTTAACTCTAAAAAATACCAATCCAGCTTTCAAAAGAAGAGATTAAAACCATGGTATTTCTTTAACACAGAGCACTTGAAAAACTGGAAAAAGGCATGACCTCATGCAATCATGTCTTGCCATGACACCATCCTTTACTCAACCCATGTACTATTTCATTGCACTGAATAAGGTTTTTTCCCGTTCTTAGCTGACTGATGAGCTTGCTCCTCCAAAACCACCGCTTCCAGAAGGTGAGGTTCCCCCACCCAGACCACCACCACCTGAAGAAAAGGATGAAGAGTTCCCAGAGCAGAAAGCAGGAGAAGCTATTAATCAGCCCATGATGATGGCTGCTAGGCAGTTGCATGATGAAGCCCGGAAATGGTCTAGCAAGGTAAGAGCTTGTTATTTATCTTGTGTTATAAGGAATATATAATATTTTTTTTTTCTTTTTTAGAATCAGTGTGTTTGATCCAAAGACAGTTGCCTCAATGACAAAGAATAGTCTTTTATAGACACAATAGTAAAAACACTGCTGTAGGAGGAATTAGAAACCCTTTCAAGTTTGAAGTGAACTAGGGTCAACTGTTCTAATACTCAAAATTCCTAGAATGCTTTATTAACATACCTCTGTGAACACAAATGTGCCTTTTATGCTAAGCTGTTTGTGATCCTTGATGCTAGTATTGTCTAGAGAGCCACTAACACTTACGGCTTTCTCAGCTGACAAGCTGATTGCTATATTTAAGTGCCTTTGAAAAGTCTGTATGGATCTTGCAGATGCCAGCTGCAGGAATCATGAGCTGGTTTGTCTTAACTCTGAAAGGAGCTGCAAGTTACTTTGCAGTTAATCTGGTGCATTTATCATCAGAAAAGTGGCTGTATATAGATGGCCTGGTCTCATTCTTGTTTGTACTGAGTCACACTTTCTATCAAGGCCAAAATCCTTCATTTTCTTACCATTTCAGTGCTATGACAAAGCAGCGTGAACTCATCAGTCTTATAAATGCTAATATAACTTTTCTGGTTTTCACTTTTTTCCCCCAAAGAGCTACATTTTTCCTCTGGCAGCAACTGAGTAAAATTCTGAGATTTTACAGGTATAAATTAAAGACCAGAATTTGGCTTTTAAAATCTCCACTCTTTTCTCCACCAAATTAGATGGTGAATGAGAAGATAAACTTGAATAGCTTACAGAATCAACTTCAGTGCTTTGTGCTTAAGGAATGTCTGTTTTGGAAGCACTGAAAAAATACAAAAGAAGTCTTGCAAATCTGAGTATCTCTTCTATAAGATTAAAAACTCTATTTCCTCCTGTACTTCTGGATATACCAAATACAGATTTATATTACTAAAGGGATAGTACTGGAATGTAGTAGTCATCTCAGAAGGTAGCTTTGGGGCCAAAAGCCTTAATTTCAGCTTCCTAAAAATATTTTGATGTTTGAATCCTGAAATGGGTGACTTAACAATACATAGCAGGTAATAAAATGTTTTTACTGTATACATACTAAATTACCTATATATACTAAACACATTCTAAATTAAATAGTGCAACTATCAAAATATTTGTCAAAGCCAAGCAGCAGACCTTAAAACTCCTTGCTGATTATGAAAGAGCTCTAAGCTTAGTGTAGACTATAAAACACCTTTTAAATTCCTGTTTCTTTAATTTGAGACCAACCAACCAGTAAGTTAGCCTAGCATTTGTCCTTCTAATTCTTTTTTAGCAGTCCCATTTTAGCAATAAAAGTGCAGTTATTCTGACAGTATGTTTTTGGGGAAGAATTAAAACATTTTTGTAGTCTCTGAAGAGACTGTTGGGTGGAAGCAAGATTGATGGACAGTGCTACTGAGGAATATGGGTTAGACCTGGAAAGACAGAAATATAAGGTCTTGCTCATACTAAACCACAATAGACTGTGTCAACTGTCTTCTGCTTTTTTGCCCAATTACGTTAGCCTACTGGTACTATACCATGTGTTACGCTTATGGCGGGGACACAAGTACTTAGTCTTTAAAATTTTGATAACCTTCCTTGTTCTTGTAGAACTGAAAATTGATTTGTGTTTTCTCCTTTACAAAAAAACTCCTCTTCACTGAGTGGATTCTGGGCTTTTATGTACTCCATCTTTCTCATGGAGCGCAAACTGAACACTGTCTATTGTTTTAGCTTTCCCTGTCTTTCACCCTCATTTGGATAAATCAGAGAATGAGGGATATTTGGAAACTTTTCATTTGAGTAAGACTTAAAGAAGTTGTCTTTTGAAGATTAGTTGATTTGGCAGTGTAAAAGTTCCAACTTCCTTCCCAAACTTCTGTGTGTTTCCCTTGGTGTAGATGTTTTTTCTATAAAAGGCCGTATCTTAAGCAAAACACAGCTGCAAATGCATAAGTTTTGCTAAGGGTAGTTTGACTCTTATCACACTTGGCTTTAGTCAAAGAAACACAGATAGTAAACTTGCAGACTATTTTTGTATTGAAATGCTGCTGTATTATAAATGCCTGTATTGTTATACCGCTTCTCTTCCTTGGATCTACCCTAACACAATATATTTCCTCGAATCCTCTTTTTTCTTTTTTTTTTTTTGAAGGTAATGGATACAACATATTGTGGCAAAACAGTATCATATGCTTCATAATTCTCTTATTCTACTAATTCTGTTTCAGTCTTTTTTAAAGAACTGTAATATTCGTAGCCTTCATAACATTCAGTATCACCTCCTCCTTTCATAAGCTGGTTTTGTTCTTTTTCATGTTATCTGTGGTACTTCAATACTCACTTCTACAGTGTCCCCCACTCCACTTTTTTTTTTCCCTCCTTTACAGCAAGCAGTGTCTGTGGTTTTCCTGTGATCCTGCTGCTCTCTCTTCTTATCACATGTATGTGAATGGGCTTCCATACATACAAAGCTTTCGATCTGCACAAATACCACAGTCATCAGCTGCTGTGCCTGCTTCTATGCAGTCCAAACGGCTTTCATTGAAACAGAAAATCCATTCATTTCACCATTGTCTTGCCAGAAAAATGTTGTCCTGCAAGTCAGCCTCTGTCTGTAGAAGCTGTATGCTCAGATGAAAAATGTTGCTGCATCTTTGAATTGTAACCATTTTATATTTTTGGTAACTTTGGTTCACAGGTGAAATGTTTGTTTCCTTCTGCTAATCTTGTATTCCTTCCCTTCCTCCCTCTGACCTGATCCTAGAGCTGTCTTGTCAGATCCTGAGAGACCAAGAGGATGTTTTGGTCACTAAAACAGCTCAGTTCATGCTCTTCTACCAAATTCTGCTTCTGGTACTAACTGTCCCCTGTTTCTCCACCCTTGCTGCCACCTGCAAAGCCTGATGTGACTGTGATTAATGAAGCGGCTGAGGCTGGTGTAGATATAGATGAGGAGGATGATGCAGATGTTGAATTCACTCTCCCCTCTGACATTGAAGATGATTACGAGCCTGAGCTGCTGTTAATGCCAACCAATCAGCCTGTTAACCAGCCCATTCTGGCTGCTGCTCAGTCTCTACATCGGGAAGCAACCAAGTGGTCTAGTAAGGTACTCCTGAGTCTCCCCGGGGACTGATCCGTGTGCATCCAGCCATTTGGAACGCTGACACATTTGCATCACTCTTGATCCCTGCTGGGCCCCGCCATTCTGAATGAATAAGTGTGTCTGCACTTCGTTTTAAGGACTGAGAGTGGCTTCACAAGTTTGCTAGATCTGTTTGTCAGTGCTGAATTGAAGCTTGATTTGGGTCACTTATTAATATTTAAAGGCTTCCTCTCCCTTTGCATCTGCCTGTTCTTCTTTGTTATGGCAGTTTTCAAATTGTACTAGGGGTTGTCTTCCCTCCCCCCCGTTCTTTTTTTTCCATTCATTTGGGCTACCTGGGAAGCCATGGTTAATGGTTTCTTAATGACTTCCAGATACAGCAGAGTATACAGCGTTCAAGAAGTCATTTAACGTGTCTATTGTGCTTTGCCTCCATTGATGCCGTCAGTTAGAATACCTGCCAACAAGGAATGGCTTTGTATGGCAGTGTTTATCGAAGAGGACTGACTGTCTGCTGGCTTGCACTTGGCTGTATTGCAAATGCTGGTCTTGAGAGAATTCTTTTATGAAGAAGCTGCACTGAATGCTGTTAGCTGCTGAATTGAGATTGTGTTTATATGAAACCAGTGGAAATCTAACATGAGGTTCAGACATTCACAAGTAGCCTCTCGCTCCTGTCTAAGCACAGATGTTCGCAAGACTGGTCACTTTTTATAGCATGCTGCAAAAAATAAGGTTGGTGTCCCATAACAAACAAAAGTTAGGGGGTGTGTGTATGTATATGTATGTGTGTGTATATATTTACCTAGATAGATATACTAAACTATTTTAATAAAAAGGGCTTTAAAAATGTTTTTGTCCTTTTCAGATTCTGATGCTTGGATAACTTGTTAGAGGGCTTCGTAAATGACACTGGTCCTAATTTCTTGATCCCTTCTACATGAAAACACGGAAAAGCTTTGTGTTATGTCATTTGCATCCTAACTGGTTGTACTAGCAAACTGTTTAGCTATTAGGTCACAGTAACAAATAGTTTAGCTTTTTGTGTCACCTGTATCTGTAAAATGTCTGGGATATCTTCTTGAATTTGCTAGTAGTGAGTTGTGGAAATATGTGCACAGGGAGAGAGGTTACATTTGTGAAGTTGGGTTCTCGCTGTGTACTCTTTGCTCCAAGCTCCATCAGTCATTAATTGTGGAATTATACTGAGGAAAG